GGATAAACTTGAAATAATAACACACCGATGCTATTTTTAATTATTATCAATAAAGGTAATATAATATACTACTATTTTCTAAGAACGCTATTTGATTAAATTGGGCAGTGAATCTTGACTCTTGAGTCTTTCCTGTTGACTCTGAAAATTGCTTGTTATAAGCTATTTTTCCTAGGCGTAAGTTTTCCAACTTCCTGTGCCCTCTGGCAATATGATAATCTCAATTCTCAAAAGAATCAGATTATTCATATGCCAAATAAGGTGATGTTCTTCTTTATGTGTCGTTTTATGTCTTGATCTGTCATGAGGCACCGTTTTATGGATCATATATACCTTCATCCTTTTTAGTTTATTTTATACCTTTTTTAAAGTAGCTTCATGAGATTTTCTTAGTGCTCTTCTGGTTGTTGCGCTGCATTAACTGGTGGATGATTGTCTGCAATGTTGGAAATAGTTAGATGATAGATTTTGTTTCCTGTGTACCAGTCAGTCGGCACCCTTTAAGATGTCGGTGCAACCAGGTACTAATGAAGACGAATCTCGTGGCCGCAAGCAAGTAGACGAAACTCCACCTAAGCATGTTCAATTTCGTGAGCCTCCCAGCAAGATGGTGATGGGCGATGTAGATGAAGAAGGACAATCAGATACCATGAATCCACCATATGTGCCTGCCTTTGATGTTCCTAGCTCCTCAAATTCTCCTCTTTTGTCCCCTGTTCTTGAAGAACCTTCTTCTTCCTTTTCTGAGGGTAATAATTAACAATAGTGGCATATTATTAATTCCATCACTGGTCTTTTACTTGTCTCAATATTTTGAACCATTGTCGACAGCTGGGGGTGATGACCCGTTACCAGGTATAGAGGACCTCCAAATTTCAGGAGAGCCTTATCCTGGACAAGAGCTTCAGGCTTGTGGTTACTCCGTTAATGGAACAACAAGTTGTAATTTTGAGGTGCGAACTAAATAGAAAACGGAATTGCTCTCTTATTTATGTTGATTTGCGGTCTAAATCTATCTTCTTCTCTTCACTAATTTGCAGTGGGTATGCCATCTAGAAGATGGATCTGTGAATTACATTGATGGTACATGTCAATCCTGATGACCATATCTTTATTTTAAAAGTTTCCCTTTCCGTTTTGTTCTCCTTTTAAGTTTATATGAAATAAGAACTTAGTCGCTAACAAACGTTTAATGCAGGAGCAAAGCAGCCAAATTATCTTGTCACTGCTGATGATGTTGATTTATATCTTGCTATTGAAGTTCAGCCATTGGATGACCGGAACCGCAAGGTTAACATCTTTTTTGTATGAATGAGATTATATTTTTGAGTAACTCTTTTTCTGGGGAAAGCGAGGATTAGGTTTATATGGAACTGTTGGACTCTTGATGTGAACTGTAGTTTCCATTTTTCCTCTGCATTTTGTTTATGGAATTGATTTCATGCTAAAAGCTTGTGGACGAAAAATTAGCCATTGGGTTAAATACAATTTACAATTAGAAAGTTGTGTTCGATGTGCTTACAGTATTGTTGCCTGCTAACTTATTTGTAGTTTTTCATGTGGTTTGATGTATTCATTTGCTGCTTGACTTTCTTTCTGATTTCAGGGGGAGCTTGTGAAGGTCTTTGCCAATGACAATCGGAAGATCGCTTGCCGTAAGTTTTTTAAATCTGAAGTATTCTTAGAGATCTCAATAAAATTTCTTGTCATACCTAGGTAGCAGTAATCCTCTTTTATTTTCACAGAACCAGAGATGCAGAGCCATATAGAGAAGACTCTTCATAGTGGTCATGCTTCATACAAAGTTTCCCTTGCGGTATAACATTTTTCCATTTCGACTCCTTTGCTTTGGCTATGTATTCTGTGGCATTTTGTAGATTAATCCTTCACTTGCATATGGCTTTGAACAGACTGGTTTCCTGGATATATGGGAAGAAGCGACCTTGTCTATTAAGAGAGAAGGTTACAATATCAGGTGTAATAACGATCTCATAGCTGCAGAAAAGTTCTCAGCTTCAACTGCTGTAAGACCTATGCCTTAAAACCTTTTGTTCTTTTTTTCCTCATAAAACAAAATGCCCCAGTCTGTGAAACGTGTGGCTGTGTGGGTAGAGAGGACTGTGCAGCTTTGCATATCGAAATAGTTGCTAGGCGAGTTATGAACTTATGATGCATCATGCATGCATATTTTATTTCAATGTTGAGCAACAAGAATTAGGCTTGTCCCATTTTTTAAGTTTATTTTAGTAGAGCGGGTGAATCAATATTTTGATACTTCTGCACAGCTTTGCTTCTTACACGCATGTTCATTAAGCATACTGTAATTTACTGACTAAACTTCTTCTCTACAAGAGCACATAGCGAAACCATATTTTGTTTTCAGTTGGTTTTTCATACTGTTGTTAGTAAATGTTTAATGTAGTTATGTTAATGACCTTTTCTTTGATTGGTTATATATGAATAGGGAAGGCAACGAGTTTTGAACTAATATTATTATCCTTCTTCTGATACAGGTAACAATTCCGTTTGGGCAACCTGCAGAATTTGTCATAATTGGTTCTGATGGTACTGAGTATTCCTTACGAGCCGATAATGGATCAACAGAGCTTGGCTGGTAAGTAAAAATAAACTTTCTTACAAAGAGAGAGCTAGAGCATGAGAAAACTTCGAGGTTGATAGTCTGACCAAAGTTATTTAGGCTCTAAAGTAGTTAGTGAGTTTAAAAGCCGATTTGTACCAATCAGCATATGCATCTCAACTTGGTCCATTGGTTTGTGAGCTTCTTAGAAACTTGATCTGGATCAATCATCATAATTTTTAGTCCTTTGATCCTATCAGATTCTAAATCTACGAATCTCCGATATGATTAGACTCACAAGTGTCGGTAGGCTAAGTGTAGGGGTAAAATGATATGGCATATGGTATGGTGTTTATACTGTTCGTCATATGTCTGTATAATACCCCATTGTAAGTTTTTAATCTTCTGTTTGCAGCTCGAGAGATGAAATAGTACTCACCCTAAGATTATTTATCATGAGGGTAATGTTCTTTAAGCAATAATTCAATTTTTTTCCTCTTTCATTACAATCTCTAGATACTGTAACAAAAATGTAGCTGTAAAAAAACCAGAGACAATTAAGTCGATACAAAGACTTGAAGGTTCATTTTTGGAGAAGTAATGGCTGATTATTTTGGTTTGCAAATTCATTGCAGGCTCTGCAGAGAAAGAAGGGAAAGAAGAGAGGATTTTTGTTTAACAAATGAGACTTTTTGTATATAAATATTTTTGGCTCCCTGGCCTTTGTTAGCTGCAAATCAAATTAGAGATAAGTATTTGAGCAGAAGATTGTTTTGTAGTTGTAAAGCTCTGTGAAACAATCCATTCATGAGAAAGATCAATCTTTGTTTATATAAAAAAGATTCCACTTAAGTTGCATTTGATCTCACTCCATTACATTCTATAAAGTACAATTGACCTGTTTGATTACACTAAAGTTACAAAGAATAATGATAAGTCTCAAAGAGATATGATACAAATACAACAACAATGACGTAACACAAAAGTATCTGCTAAATTTGAAAGCAATCATATTCAGCTGTGTCGGAATTTTGGCCGCACTGTGATAACTCCGGGTCTTGTCTCATCAAACCTGTACCTGCAAAGCAATATTTTGTTCCTCAGCTTGTCATTTATACTAATGGTTAATAAAGATATGAAAAGGAAGTTGAAAGAGAGTTTTTTTCACCTGTTATCTTCAAAGAATGTCTTCACGGCTTGAGGAAGCGAAGCATGTCCACGACTGTGTTTACCAATACCTACACAGGACATAGCACATCAGCCTTGAACCCTTCTACTATATCTAAACAAGGGAAAGATCAGTTCGCTTGATGCTTCCGAAACAGAGAATCGAAATACCTGTTATAACCTGCAATGAGTTTCGTAGTTCTCTAGAAGAAGTTCTTTGACAGTCCAGGCCTTCCACATCTAATCTACCAAAAGGCTCTTGTGATGCAGATCGCAGAGCGGCATTCTTTGAGCTACCTCTATTTGGTGATACTGAACGGTTCACCGTGAATCGACCTTCGATCTTTTTCAAACGTTCCTGTAACGCTTGAAGAGCTTCTGTTGCATGGAGACCATGCAGGTCCAACTTCCATATGTCGTTATCCATATTTGTTATACCTATGATCTTCTTGGCTGCCTCAGCATTTAACTTCTCAGCTGTTAACCAGTCCTCTCTTGCTTTCTCTGAATGCTGCTTGGCAGAAGCATGGTCATATCTCAGAAAAGCATTTTGGGCAGCTTTTGAATGGTTTGAGGCTGATCTGTTTAAAAGAAATGAAAGAGAGTTGTCCTCAATAGCTGATGATAAAATTTGGAGTTTAAGTTCCATACATGAACTCTGCATTGGGTAGACAAAAGCGATCAAGTGATAAATTGGCTATCGAAATAGTATGTGTACCTCATCATTTTCAGTGCATCCCTTCGATGAGTCAAGTAAAGATCATCCTCTTCCCATTCAGGTTCTATATGAATGGACTGAAGCCTCTGAATGATACTATCTAGTTCAGAAATATCATCAGAGAGCTTTTCACTGTCATATGCATTCACCAGAAACGAACTTCCACTACTCTCTTGCAGATCGTCCTTGTCAGCATCCTCACATGTGGACCTTGCAGCCATATTCACCGAACTTGTAGCAGTTCTACCGAATGTTTTATACCCGGATCTTCTGTTATCGGTTGAATAACCATCAATCTTTGAAGTTGGATCCTCAAGTTTCTTACTGTTAGTACCTTGGTCTGCTGAATTACTAGGAGCCATTGCTTCCAAAAACTCGAAGGCAATCTCAAATTTATCTTCTGTGGACAACAATATATCCCTTATCAAGCTATCATCTGCCCAGCTGAACATTTCCTTCAGCTTCATGAAAGTTGAATCATGACTGTTTATAGGCGGAATCAAACCGTTCGATTGGTTTTTGCGACCTCCACCGCTTACTTGGTTTCCAAAATCCTTATTCTCTGTCAATGCCGGAAATTTCGAAGGAGGTAAGAGCACGGACGAAAAAGACTTTTCAAAAGATTCATGATTTCTTCTCAGCTTTCCTCTTACATCTAAGGGTGCATCAACACTACTCGAAACAGGTGGGAATGGATCTTCCTCGATCTCTCTTTCTTCGAGACCTTGTTTCTGTCTCTGCTTGAGATCAAACGCAGTCCAACCAGATGATTTACCTTTCATCCATGACATATTTGTATCGGTCACTAGCTCTCAGGACTGATCATCTCTCATTCATTTCACATCACAAATGATACTTCAAAGTTTCAGCCTGATTGTACATAAGGATGACTCAAGAACTGCAAAACAATTTCACAAAGAGAAAACATTTAACAAACAGTTTCGAATCTATATTCAATTTATTCCAAGACAAATCCACCAATTTCTGCAATTCAACTT